TTGCCTTTGACACTGTAGTTAATCTGTAACGCGTACCAACATAATTCACTGCTATCCCAGTTGGAATCTCCCATCTAAACTGTATTTGGTGACATTTTAACTCATCAGACAGGAAAGTAAAGTCTTTTCTTCTTCTTAAAATTTTTGGAGGTATTTCTTTTAAAATTATAACATCTTGGGCTGCAATTTGAAACCTCTGTTTATAAAAAGCCTGTATAATTTCATTACAAATAAATCTTCTAGAAAAATAGATGACCACATCTCTAGGTAAATTTCTTTGTCTGGCAACCCGTGAGTTAACTCTGAAGATTTTTTCTATCTCATTCCCAACTTCCTCCGGTCTCCAGCCCAAGTTAAAAGCAATATCTTTAACAACAAGCCCCTTTAAATCTTCTTGTAAATTTTCTTTCAATCCTCTGATACGCAATGCAAACTCCATTTCTTTATACTGTGAAACAATTAATTCATCCTGTGTCATTTCTAACTTATTCTCCACTTCTTCAACTCTGCTTTCCAATTTTGCTGTGTTTTCAGTCACTTTGTCCATTTTATCATCAATTCTCTCAATATGCATAGCAAGTCCTTGAAATGCAAATAATATATCCTCTCTTATTTCCCTGTTTTTTTTTCTCCAATAATTCTGCCATAACAGCCCTCTCTGAAGTCATCTTACAATCCAAAAGATCAGCTACCTCCTCTTTAATGTCTAAAGCATTTTTTTTCAAAGCTTCTTGTAAGTCTTTAAGAGAAAGTACAGGTGGAGGAGAAGGAGGGGGTGTCTTTGGTTTGGGCTGAGAGGCAGTCTGAATCATTGGGGAGGAAATAGAGCTTTAGAGACCGAGGAGACCAGATGTTTTGAAGCCATTCTTATAAATTCACAGTTTAAAATTTAAAAAAAAAACAAGATTCTTCACTCTATGTTTAAAACAGAAACTGTAGCAGTCTTTTAACTTTGTTACAAAATCTTCAAACAAGAAAGCCAGAAGCCATCTTGCCTTCTATCACTTTCTCTTTCTTCTTCAAAAGAGAAAGTAGGCAAAAAAAAAAGGAAAAGGAGAAGATACTTTTCAGGAGTTAAAGTCCCAAATAATCATAAATCTAAGTCCTCCTGGTCTGCTCCGACTGCTTATAAATACTCACAAATCCACTAAAAGACACAGATGAGGAAGTGGCATCTAGCTTCGTCCCAAAACTTCGGGACAAAGGCACCCTGGAATGCGGAGTAAAGCTTGGGCTCCAAGGGAGCTCTACCCTCCGATCTCCCCAAAATTATGGGAATCCAGGGGAGCTCTTCCTTTACCCAAGCAACTTTCCTCTTCTCTTTTTCCTAGGGAAGAGGTTTTAAGCCGCGGGACAGCTGATTGTCAGTGTCTCCGCCGGCTTTTACGCAATCCCAGAGCGGGCGGCTAAAGAAACGCTGCCATCGACATGGCTGACACCACCGGAAGCCGTGGTCTACTTTGTTGAATGCCTTGCTGAAGTGTAAATATATTATGTCCACAGCATTTTTCTGCTCTACTAATTTAGTCACTTGGTCAAAGAATAAAATAAAATTGGTTTGCCATCATCTGTTTTTAACAAACCCATGCTGTCTTCTAGCTATAACTTTATTTGTTTCTAGATGTTCGCAGATGTGTTCACAGATTGTCCTTGTGGACAGTCACTTAAATGTGAGCCAATACTGTGTAGCAACAGGCAAAAAAGTCAATGCAATTATAAGCTGCATCAGTAAAGATATAGAATCAAGATCATGCAAAGTTCTAGAACCACTTTATTATGCCTTGGTAAGTCCACACTTGAAATACTGCATCCAACTCTGGTCACCCCATTATAAAAAAATGGAAAGGATACAGAGAAGATAAAAATGATTAGGGAGTTGGAGGCTAACACAAATTGGGTATATTTAGTCTACTGAAAAGAAGGATTAGGGGTACCATGATAGTAATACTCCAATATTTGAGGGGCTCCTACAAAGATGAAAGGGTCAAACTATTTTCCAAAGCACCTGAATGCAAGACAAGAAACAATGGTTGAAAACTAATCAAGCAGAAAATCAACCTAGAAGTAAGAAGAAATTTCCTAACAATGAGAGCAATCAGCCAATGGAATAGCTTGCCTTCAGAAGTTTTTCCATCTCCTTTAGTGGTTTTCATTTATTTGGATAAAAGAGTCTCTCAAAAGAGATTGAATAATCATTTGTCTGAAATGGTATAGGTTTTCTTGCCTGAGCAGGGGATTGGACTAGAATACCTCCAAGGTCCCTTTCCACTCTATTATTCTATGGTGTATGGTCTATGAGATCTGGAATAGGAGGAAGAAGTGAGCAGCTAACAGTTGATTAGTGGTTATCCCAGATTAGAGAGTTCCACTAATAAAATAAAAAAAAATCTATCTTGCAATTGCTTAAATGTTCCCTTCTGCTATAAGAAGAGATACTTTTCTTAAGGAGTGAAATATTTTCTCTCTAAATACTCTTGGGTTGGTTTAAAATCCCCTTCTTAATGTAAATAGCAGTGGGTTAGAGTTAAGGTTACTGCTGGTTTTGTGGATTTCTCTTAGTGTGAAAAGGCCCCTTAGGAGGAGGTCCCTCATTTTATCTAATTTGGGATAGGACTGAAGTGTCACCAGCCATAGACTTTATAGAGTCAGAGAGATAATTTCAAAGTGAAACACAAGACATTGCCCCATACTCCTAGTGACTTACAACATAATGCCTTTCTTCACAGTATTATGAGTTAGTTATGCAGTAAACATAATCTTAGATGCAAACAAAATACAGCTACCCATTATTTTCCTGGAACATAATTGTGGATTGCCACTGGGGGAAGTATGTATTTATGTACAGTAGCAACAGGCTTAGTTCTTTGGATCATCAGGAAGAGCCAGTAGGTATAGGAATTTTTCACTCTTCCATTGGACTCTTTTATTCAGCTGAATAAGAAGAGCTAGAGAAGATAGGAGAACATTTCAGGGTTTACTAGACCCACACCTCCTTTCTTCTCCCTGCCAGTGATAGAATTGGAGTTAGAAAGGGCTCTTTGCCTTGAGATTCTGTAGATTCTCCCCTGACAACCTTGCCCTCACAGTGAATATTAGTGGGTCAGTGAGATTACAAATGGCAAAACTAGTCACTCTGAAAAGAAAGTCAATTATTAGTAATGTAGTTCTTTGCTCAAGAACCACAGGAAGCAGTTAGAGGCCAGCTGTATTTCTAAAAGTGCATTGAAGTCTAGAAATAATGTTGAGCTCCTGGTATTACCCAGAAATGGTCAATTATCTTGTGTAATGAGTACTGTATGTGCAGAGAGGGAAATGAGGACATCTGGGGACAAACTGACATGTTGTTTAACAATAAAGTGTCACACTATGAAGATCCCTTGCTTCAGAACTGCCATGATGCTTCTACCTTGCCTGGGGGGGGGGGAAGCTTCAGTATGCACAGGTGGCTGCTATCAGTGTGAGAGCCAAGGTCATTGAAGAGATGTTTTGGCAAATTGAAGTTTTCTTCTCAAACAATGTGACCTGAACTGTCAGAGAGGGGAGGGAAGGTTTTTACGCTTTTAATTAACTTTTCCTTGCCATATTGCCAGAGCTGGTATTCTTTCTACTGTGCTGATATGCTATGCCTACTAAAGCTTTACATTAGAGATTGCAATGTGTCTGTTGGATTTAATTTGTTGGGCTTTTTAACCAGAACCTTGACATAAAATGAAATAAGGTAAAGAATACACTAATATTCACCATATTATGACCATAGTATGATGCCATTATGCACCTAGTGTTAGATCCATATTAAATATCTCAACATTTACCTGAAACATAATTGTGGGCTTCCAGCTGAGGGAAGTACGTATTTACCTGTTATAGCAACAGACTTGGTTACCTGAATCATCAGAAATATTGAGTAGTTACAGGAATTCCACACAGACTCTTTTATCCAAATAAATGAAAACCACTAAAGGAGATGGAAAAAACATGTCAAGGTATATTAGGCTATCCCACCTCCTTTGAACTCCATGCTGTGATAGAGTTGATTTGAGAAAGAATCCTAAACATGAGGGATGAGGATAAAAGTGGAAAAGGGAAATCTAGCTGATTTCTGTATTACATGTACCCTGCCTATGTTGTAAAAAATGATGCATTAAAAGGCTAATAAAGAATGAATATATATAAACTATTGGTCCTAGAAATTACTATTTGTATTTTAATAATTTTTTTCAGTGAAATCTGATTCATAGCTGAGATTTTAACACTTTATAGGATGATTTATGCCACTAGTTAAATATTTACATCCCCTTATAAATTTAGACATTGTAATAAAAAAGAAATAGAAAGTGTGTGAATGAAAGTTGAGTGGGGAATTAAATGGGTTCAGGCTTGTATGGATACTGGTTGTGCAAATTATGTTTTCACCTGTGTACATTGTTAGAGCACACCCCTTTATTAACATAGGTATAATAGTGTCTACAATAGTATCCCTCACATGTTGGCTGTGTGTGTTTGTCTGCATCAGGTCCTAGGTGGCTCACCCTCTGATAATGTGGTTTTATTGTGTAGTCTATCTATTTGTTTAGATGGTATCTAAAATCAATTTAATAACATCTGTTGGTCTGTCTATTTAACAAAAAGAATGGGCCAGGAAAGGATCCTGTCTCTTGCGGATTTCCTATTGCTACATCTTCATTTCCTTTATCAAGATCCAGGCTGTGCTGATATTAAGTCATCAGACAAAGATATTTTTATCGTAAGTTGTATCCAATGGTATTTAACTTGAGAAATAGCTTAAATTTGATTTTATACTATTTCTGCCCATGCAACTACATTCGCTGGAAGCAAAGTGGCAAAGTTATTGCTACAATAAATAAACTGAAAGGGAAGAATGAAATTATAGCATAATATGTGGTTGAAGAGCAGGCAACACCCCCACCCTCTCTCTCATATACCAGTAGTCACAGGAATATACTGCTCCCAGGTGCTTTTTAAAGAAGTTGCACAATGTCTGCAATGCTCATTTAGCTTTATTTCACGAAATATTTGCCAAATTTTATTTCAATGCACAAATGTTTTAGAGTTTGATGGGTAGCAATTTGATTTATATAAAGAAAGATAAAGCGACAGCAGGCAGTAATCTCAGGTCATTGGCCATATCTTGCAGATATCCTGAAGGTATCCATCGTCATAGATGGAGATGGCATTACATCCTATACAAATGGAGAAAAAAATAAGTTGATCAAAGTGAGTTTAAAGTAAATTCTTTGCTTTGCAAAGCTTTGTGAATGCAAACAATATCAGACAGAGAATCTCATTATGTACTGTATCTGTAGTATCTTTATTAGAGGAGAGTTTTCTTACCGTCTACAGCACCTCTGTCGCCCTGGACAGTGCCCGGGAATATTATGGCCTGGACGACAGCGGGGCCTGCACATTCCATGACACCCATGGTGGGCATTCCCTATGAAACGAAAAAGAGGAGACAGGTAAATGATGAGTAAAGATTCCTTAATATTTAAATACATTTTTTCCTTCCAACACATTACCTTCTTCTACAGCAGTGTTTCTCAACCTTGACAATTTTAAGGCATGTGGACTTCAACTCCAAGAATTCCACAGCCAGCAATGCTGGCTGTGGAATTCTGGGAGTTGAAGTCCACATGCCTTAAAATTGTCAAGGTTGAGAAACACTGTTCTACAGAATTGCAGGATTCCTTTATCAATTTATAATTTTATTCATTTATAACATAAAAATATGAAAATAAAAAGCAAATAGTAAGGAACAACAATAGGGAAAGAGGAAAAAGAGAAATGTGGAAAGAGGGGGAAGAAACAAAAGGCGTTGACTTCTGATTCCCTCTGTTCAAGTAAAATAACACATTGAAATTGAATCTCAACTTTTTACATTTCTGTAGTAGTATGAACTAGCCATTTCTCTAATCAGTAAACCCCAAAATCATAGTATCATTTTTTCCACCTCAAGCACAAAGTCCAGAAGCAGTTTCCAAGTAGAAACAAAAGTACTTATATTCTTTTCTTTTATCAAAACAGTCAGTTTAGTCATCTCTGCTAACTCCATCAGCTTTTGTAACCATTCATCCAAGGTGGGAATGGAAACATCCTTCCAAGAATTGCAGGATTCTTAGGACTACAGCAAGTTTTCTCTGACCACAGAGATTCATTTCTGCTGATCTCCTGCAGCAGCTCAAATAAACCAACTATTAACCCAGGTTTGAAGTCTGACTCAAAGATGATTAGTGGGTCCATTAGTGGGTGAAAGTGGCAAGAAGGTGACAAGCAACAGGGAGAAAGCAGAACTATTTAACTCGTTTTTTGCATCTGTCTTTACACAAAGGGAAAAAACAGACCAACCTATCAAAAATAGTGCCATAAAAAACAGTATAGAAACACAAGTTAAAATAAGCAAGAAAATGGTAAGTGAGCATCTGTCCAGCCTAGATGAGTTCAAATCACCAGGACCAGATGGATTACATCCCAAAGTTCTCAAGGAACTGGCAGATGTGATCTCAGAACCACTCAACTATATTTTTCAAAGATCCTGGAGCACAGGGGAACTACAGTACCAGAGGACTGGAAAAGAGCTGATGTAGTTCCCATCTACAAAAAAGAATTTGGTAAACCAATACTAAAGTGAAGCAAATCAACAAAAATAAGCTACAATAACAAAACACCCAGTAAAATTCTTTCAAGAATTGTGAATCAAAAGAAAAATCAGTGGCATATTTTTCAAATGTTTGGAGGCTCATGTTGTCAATAGTCTATACTGTTCAAAGCTATTTCTGTAAAGTAAAACAAAAAGATGTTGAAGATTACCCTGCTTTCAGTGATGATCATATTTATTTAAAAAGGAGTGAGTTACCAATCCTTTCTAAATTATCAGTAATTTTGTTTCTTACCTGGTTCAGACAGGAATGCAAGGAAAAGAAATGCGAACAGCAGATAAAGGATCTTCATGCTGAGACTGGTTGTGGACCAAATCTTACTCCTGGGACAGACACGGCTGTCTATTTATTGAGTTATAATGATTGCATCATATCATCTCAGTGAACTATTGCAAAATAGTTCTTACATAAGGCAATGGTGCATCTTCCTTGTATTGAAACACTTCTGTTTGTTAGCTATTACAAAAGCCGTTAGAAGAGCAGCAGACTTAGTTGAACATCTAACCGGCTATGGTTGTAAAAGATGGGAGGCTCAGGACTTGCAATGTCCTAATGGGGCAAAGAAAATTCCTTACTGAATTGCTGCCCAAACTCCACAGTTCATGATGATAATGCTCAGCCATGTTCACTAATGGCTGGAGTTTGGGAAGAGCCCTTAGAACCAAGAGGTAGAAATCTGGGATTGGCACTGCTATCATGGGTGACACATTTTTATGGGTGGGTTTTGGGAAAACAGCTGCTCTGCTTCTTGGTGGGTCTTTGTGGCACTCAGATTAATCACAGACTGATTTGGCTTTCATTGAAATATCCCTCCCTCATCCAGGTGATTTCTATTTCCCTGAAGACAGAGAATATATGAAGAGTTGGAAATATTCCTGCAACCTTAATCGAGGGTTATTAGAAGTGCTGTGGGACACAGAAGAGAAGGAGAGCTGGGTTCCAAAATCTGTGAGTGTTGGTTACATTGAATGTTTCCTGCTGCTTCAGCTACAAAGGATCTCACAGGGGCCATATTTTTTATTACTTATCTCTAAATTTCAGTGGCTTTATATGGCTTTTCATTTAGGCAAGAAAAAAAATGAATCCACAGGTATAGAATAGGTGATACATGGCTCAATAGCAGTAACTGTGAGAGCTTGCCTCCAAAAGTTTTGGGTGCTCCATCACTGGAGGTTTAAAGAATAATTTGGAAAGCCATTTGTCTGGAATGATGTAGGGTTTCCGGCTTGAGCATGGGATTGGACTAGAAGGTCCCTTCCAACTCGGTTATTCTGTAAGTTCTGTTGGTTCTGAGGTGACACATCCAGTTGCCATGGATGCTGTAGAGATTTAGAGATGATTTCAAAGTGAAGCACAAGCATTTTCCCATACCCTGAATAACACAGTAACTTAAAATCTGTTTTCACAAAATAAAATACTCAGACTTAGTTATACATAAAATCATCCTAGTTTCACAAACTAAATATGACTTTTCAACATTTGCCTGTTTTTCAACATCTTTTTCTTTTCTTTCTATTTTTTTTCTTCTCCCAATCTGCGATACAATTGCTCTGAGAAAGGATCCTTAGAGTGAAGGATGAGAAGAATAGAAAAAAAAGCTACTGAAAGATTTAACAATTTCTGTATTAGATGTAGAAATACAATACAGAAAATGTTAAGTAATCAAGATGCAAAAATTGCTGCAGTGAAAAACCATACTTGGAGGGTCCCTCAGGAAGTCAAGAATTGAGCCTGGTTGTTGGTGAGCAATGGATCGAAAGTTCCTGGCAATGAGTGGAAAAGGTGGTTATTGAGCCACATCTCCTAAGCTTTGCCTTGAGGGTTGGAGTCAATTTCTGTGGACTCCCATCAAATAGCCTTGATGCAGGACTTCATAGAAGATGAACATGCAAAATTAGAAACCAATTAACCACAGGTACATTAAATAGTAGGAGACCAGTGAGGCTGAAAATGGTAAAATTGGCAGCCCTAAAAAGAAAGGAAATCAATATTTAATAATGTGGTTCTTTGCCCAAGAACCACAGAAAGCAGTTAATGAGGAAATTGTGGAAGTCAGCTGCAACAACAAAAGTGCCTTGAAACCTTGAAATAATGTCAAGCTCCTACTATTCCCCAAGAAACGGACAATTACTTTGTGTAATGAGTGGGTGCAGCAACGGTACTGAGGAAACCATAGATGCACACTCACTTGGTGTTTAGTAATTAAGTTAAGTAAGGTAAAGAATAATAAAAAAGGTGGAGAGTATTACTTAAATTTAGGTTTAGAAATAATTGAGGAACACTGTTTGAAAAGAAGGTACCTAAATTTCTGTGTGAAGAAGTTGATACTGTTCAGTAGTTGTTAGAAAGTCATTTGAATTGATCAGGGCTTTTATTTATTCATACTTATGGTATTTTGTTGTTCAGGACAAATAGTTAGGCTTGTGAGAAGGAACATTTTAGTTTCAGTTATCTCAGTGAACTTCACATGGAAAGTGAAGCAAAGCTTCATGAGGACATTTTACATATCCTGCTTCCACACTGTAATCCCTCAAAGGTATTTTTAAATCAATCAAGTTAATCTCCTCTGAAATACTGAAAGGAATTTGTGGTGCTTCTCTCTGAGAAGAAGTCAGTTTGATAAGTCTCATGCTTCCTCCTCCAATTCTCTCACAAAGCTGTTTGAATTTGATCCCTGATTATTCACACTGTAGTGCAGAGAATGTGAGGAGAACACCATAAAATGTTCAAACTTGGCCAATAGGAAACTGCATTTGTTTGTTTTTTTTAAAATGGGTTTTATGAAAAACTATGTGACAGCAAGTTGATTACCCAAAATATCAAGCAAAAAAGTTAATAGAATGAAATCCAATCCCATCCCAGCCCACAAGCCTTAGCATTACCTCAAATTAAAAATTCTGTGTCTTCTGAAGATGAAATAATGATATGTCAACTTCTTTAGCTTTAATCCTGGCTGCCTAATCCTGATTGACTAGAGATGCTAAGTAGAGTTGAGTTTGATTCGTACTTGGATGGTGGACTGGACCTTGAGGTACACACAGGTACACTTGACCCCTGCAAAATATTGCTGTATATTGATATAAACTGTTTGGATGTGCTCTTCTAGAAAAAGCTTTTGGGGATAATACCCATATAACAATTTTGGGAGTCAATCTTGTTTTATACCTATTCCATACCCTCAAAAAAGCATGGCTATTGAAATGATTATTGAAATCTACATTAACTTCAGCATAAAACGTAAAGAATCATGTGACCCAAATATCAAATTAACTTCTTCCAACAACTTCGGAAAACAGAATAACCGAGTTGGAAGGGACCATGGAGGTCATCTATTCCAACCCCACAGTTTAATCTGGAAACCCTATACCATTTCAGACAAATGGTTGTCCATTTGTTTCTCAGCGTCACTCAATCTTTCATCCATGCCAAACAGCAAGTGTAATCCTAACACATCTTTTTTGGCATCTTGCAATAATTTATATTTAATTTTGGGCTTTTGGTATTTTTTTTTTGCCATATAAACTTGTAAAAATCTTTTGTCATTGTTTAAATGGTACATCTATTGTCAATATCAGTATTGTATCAGTATCAGAAATTAAATAATAACAATCCATGCAAAACATTGTTCTTAAATACCAAAATTCTGCACAGCAGTCACAGTTATAATTTATCTCATCTCAATACATCTTTTTAATATTAATTCATTACCTTAGCATAATTATTCAGAAATAATATTACACTAATATTAAAAATAATATACTAAAAAACCTCCACTACTTCAGGTTTTTAAGGAAAGATTGGAGGGCCAGTTATCTGTAATGACATAGGTTCTCCTGCCTGAGAAGTGGGTTGGACTAGAAGACCTCCAAGGTCCCTTCCAACTCTGTTAAGTCTCCTCTTTATTCTGCTAAAAGCAGGTGATCTGCAGATATGATGAGAACAGGTCTTGTAGAGTCTGGAGAAAGGGGGATTTTAGCCAGGCTGCAGTTAAGGCAAATAGAGAAACATCCACACTAACTCCAGACATTTTTGAATGACATTTATAAACTGTTTGCTAATTTTTAACCCTTTGCCAGGACAAACTATTATGTTTCAATATGCGGGTGATGTGATTACTCTGAGAAAGAAGAAGTTTATAAAGGAGTCAGTGTAGTCTTGAGAAAGACTGCACACTGAATCAGAACACTATGCCGTTTGCTGAAACTGTTACATTTATATATTTAAATTGTTACATTTGCATGGCCATAAAGCTATTTCTCCGTACAGCTGAGGTTGTTATTTTAAAAATGGTCTATTGCAGACAATACAAAACTCAAGATTTCAATGCCTTAGAGCCCTGGATTATATAAAGGTTTTGGTTTCTGTGACATGTGGACAAATGGATATAAAGTCTGCACTTTTATGGCAGAAAACAAAATCAACAGACTATTTTTAAAAATGGTGAACAAAGCTTCTACATATGGTTTCATCATTGTAAAGGGACACATTTAGCTGAGTCTTCCATAAATATTTTGCATAGTTAATCAATAGGTGCTGAGCATACAAAGAGTTTTACATTATGCACTATTTTTTATAAAGCCTGACCAGGAGGAACAAAGTGAGTGCAGTTCTTTCCTCATGCCTGAAAATCTTTGGAAGATGAAAAATACATAGAAGGCACACAGCCTTTCTGGCAACACTCTTCAAATGACAATTGACTTCTGCAGTCTGTATTTCTTTATGAAGATGCTTTAGCTTAAATTCTCTGAGAGTGGAACACAGTACTTTGTAGAAATTTGAAAAAAATGGCTTTATGTTTTTCTAAGTTGCATGGTGCTTTCTGCTGCAAGGTAGCTTGTGTTGTATCTGCTTAATGCAGTAAAGAAGCACTACTGCTTTAATAAGCTACTGGGAGGTGCTGGACTCGCCCTTCTATACCCCATATTTTGGAATGCAATTTGAGAACATTGCACAGCCCTTCTAACTGACTCCTGATGTAGCCACTGTGATAATCTCATTGTTGAATCATATTTTTATTCTTTCTAATCATTGACTTTATGGTACTGCCTCTGCTCCTTCCAAACTTGTTTTCTGCCTTTGGAAATAGAAAGTCCAAGCAGAAGATCCTTTTCACAGATTTCCTTACTAAAGCCCATTAACCAGCCGTCAAACCAGCCTTTCAGTGGCTACTCAAGATACCCAGTTTAGTGAGTTTATTAATGTTCCCCAACAATTCTCTTCACCAAAACTCAATCCCACTTATGTCCAGCCATCAGCAGGCCAACATTAGTCCACAAAGCAATGGCCCAATAGTCCATAAAGTAATTGAAAGTTGATCAAACAAATAACTCTGTCAAATAAACTTAAATCTACCAGGAAAA